AACTAAAGCACTGCACACTATTCCAGTCATGAGGGAAGGGAGGTAACTTCGACTACCATTGTTTTTTGTTGTTTTTTTGAGTGAATATTTCATACCTCGTAATGACAGGGTGAATAATGCTGAGATGTCACAGAGGAACATTGAACGTAATCAAATCTTGACATATACAACAATAGAAAAAGTAATGATAAATGAGCAAAGGCTAACAAAACAATGCATTTGTTTGAGAAATTAGTATACATAAACAAAGATAAATTTTGGATTTCAAATCGTCAAATTGTTAAAGATATGTAAAAAATAGAATATCATTACTGAATTGCAAAGATGTTAGTATGCAGCTTTCACACTTCCACATTTTATAATTTAAATTTTGATATCTGATCACACCGGTTTAATCTTCTCAGATTATCTGGAAACATCTGGTTTAATCTTACCTGAAGCCTGAACACATCTATTTAAATCTCAGATATCAGAAGAGACATGGCTAAATCATATCAGGATACCTGAAGAGACATGGTTAAATCTTATCAGGATATCTGAACACACCTGGTTAAATCTGACTACACTTATTTGAATAAAATGATACAGTTATTTCTAAATGCGACAATCCTTTATAAGAATTTATGAACACAGCTGCTTGAATCTTAATTAAGATATTTCTAAACATATGTAATTTCAATGTAACTAGAATATCTGAAAACAGCCATGTAAATTATTCCATCCAAACAAATTTCACATTAAATGTCTCATCTCAATACTGAAACAAACTTCAAATTAGGTTATTTAATTCTTTTCTTTAAAAAAAGAAATTTTTCATCAAATCACTTCTTTTCACTCCTCAATGAAAGAAACGATTCTCTGCAATTTCCTCCTCAATTTCAAAATTATTGCCCATTATATCACTTAGAAGTGCTAGAAGAATACAGCAGTGGTATGATGGATGGTAATTTAGATAAATTTTATGTGTATTTGTACAAACCTTTCTTCAACGAAAAATAATTCACATCAAATCACTTCTTTCCCTTCAACGAAACAAAATTCACATCAAATCTCTTCTTTCCCTTCCTCAACAAAACAAAATTCACATCAAATCACTTATTTTCCCTTCCTCAATGAAACAAAATTCACATCAAATCACTTCTTTCCCTTCAACGAAACAAAATTCACATCAAATCTCTTCTTTCCCTTCCTCAACGAAACAAAATTCACATCAAATCACTTCTTTCCCTTCAACGAAACAAAATTCACATCAAATCACTTCTTTCCCTTCAACGAAACAAAATTCACATCAAATCTCTTCTTTCCCTTCCTCAACGAAACAAAATTCACATCAAATCACTTATTTTCCCTTCCTCAATGAAACAAAATTCACATCAAATCACTTCTTTCCCTTCAACGAAACAAAATTCACATCAAATCTCTTCTTTCCCTTCCTCAACGAAACAAAATTCACATCAAATCTCTTCTTTCCCTTCAACGAAACAAAATTCACATCAAATCTCTTCTTTCCCTTCCTCAACGAAACAAAATTCACATCAAATCACTTCTTTCCCTTCAACGAAACAAAATTCACATCAAATCTCTTCTTTCCCTTCCTCAACGAAACAAAATTCACATCAAATCACTTCTTTCCCTTCAACGAAACAAAATTCACATCAAATCTCTTCTTTCCCTTCCTCAACGAAACAAAATTCACATCAAATCACTTCTTTCCCTTCAACGAAACAAAATTCACATCAAATCTCTTCTTTCCCTTCCTCAACGAAACAAAAAGTTCACATCAAATCACTTCTTTCCCTTCAACGAAACAAAATTCACATCAAATCTCTTCTTTCCCTTCCTCAACAAAACAAAATTCACATCAAATCACTTCTTTCCCTTCAACGAAACAAAATTCACATCAAATCTCTTCTTTCCCTTCCTCAACGAAACAAAATTCACATCAAATCACTTCTTTCCCTTCAACGAAACAAAATTCACATCAAATCTCTTCTTTCCCTTCCTCAACAAAACAAAATTCACATCAAATCACTTCTTTCCCTTCCTCAACGAAACAAAATTCACATCAAATCTCTTCTTTCCCTTCCTCAACAAAACAAAATTCACAACAAATCACTTCTTTCCCTTCCTCAACGAAACAAAATTCACATCCTCATGCATACCATGTATACAACTTCACATGCGAAGGGAAGCAACTCCGCTAATTCCGCATCTTTTGTTTACAATGCCTTGACTTGACAAAATTCTGAAAGTTTCTTGCAGACTTATCTGATTCATGAAATTACAAAAAACAAATTCTAATAAGCATGCCCAACTTTTCACACATCATCATGCTCATCTCTATAACAGAACTTCATTTAACTACACTGTAAGAATGATTGTCTTCTTTGTAAAATGGACTCTCCCAAACACATTTTGATAAAAATGTTTACCTTATAACATAGACTGTTCCAAATACATCTTAATAAAAATGTCTTCCTTATAACATATAACATAGACTCTTCCAAACACATTTTTTATAAAACAAAAAGTCTCCCTTATAAGATCAACCCTTCAAAGCACACGTGAATAAAAACTATCTATCAACATTTTAAAGCATTGTACATCTACCATTAATTATTGCAAGTTTGTATATCTTTACCTACAACCATAGTACTAAATGCCAATCCTTACATCTTCAGTAAAGAAATAACTAAAAGCACTCTTTGTAGAGTGACATATACAGTCTATATAAGCACCTCTTGAAAATACAGAAAACAGGAGAGCTAGTATCTAGCACCACCTAGTGAGCACCACACAAAGTATATCTATCTCTTACTACAATTCTAAAAGTGCTTTTGACATATTATTTTCTTCAAAAGCATACCAGGGTATTACCGAGATATTTACTGTCCTAATATCAAAACAAATTCACTTCTACCCAGTATTTATACATAGCATTGGCAATTAATTTGTCTCAAGATTGAGAATCATATACAAATCAAATTATACATACATGTAATTACAGTATTGTCATAGCCTGAGAAAGGATGAGTAAGGAAGTATGTTCTTAACAAGACATCCCAGTGGGATCTTGACGCCAACCTTTGTTTGATCTTTTCTAGTTCTTTAAAAGCTGGATGTTTTTCTGATGTGACAAAATCAAAAAGACACAACTACGGACTAAGGGAAATCTACACAGGAAATTTTAGGAAGATCCATCCTGCGCTTCTCAAGAAATCATGACATCAAAATCTGTTCAGTGGCGTACAGACAAACGGGCAAACAGTTGGATGAAGACGTAGGGCGATTTAAGTAACCCACACATCATCTGGTGATGGTGGGCTAAAAATGAAATTGTTACAAATTCACATAAACTATTACATGAACAGTATAAATGAGCACAAAATGACAAAAAAAATGAAAAAAAAATCCTGGTATACAAATGTATTTCAATAACTAAAATGTATGAAAATCTGAGTAATCATAAAAGTTATAGCTGTAACATGGAAATTTTCGCGAGGGTTAAAGTTGCGACTTCTATGGGTAAACTCTACGCATGTGGGTTATATTTGCCATCATTTTTTTATATTTTTTCGTCTACAAAGTTTAAGCACATCATTACATATTACGCATAGAAGAAATTTTCGCAATCTAACAACCTTTGCATAATTAGCATAAATTACCCCCTCACGTAAATTTCCACATTTACAGGAGATGGTCCATGTTCCCATAATGTATAAATTGTACATATGTTTGTAGATTATTTTGATTACAAAATATAGACATGTTTTCTTACTCAGTAATTTGTACGTAACATATATAAAATACCTACTATCTATATACTTAACAAGTACTGTACATATAGGTGAGCGACTTTGATTAGTTGATTGCAGGTCTGTAAGTCACTGAGCTGCTATCATTGGTAGTTGTCCTATAGTATTGCAGACAATATGGGACTCATATAACAAGCTTTGATTGTAAAAAAAAAAATAATAATAATAACAATAATAAATGGAATTTAGGATTTTGAGACATGTTTCTAGTAAGAAAAGATACAAAATGATAAAAGAGAGGTATTTTTAAGTTTCTGACGAAGTTGTGTTGAAACTTCACTATAGCCATTGGTCAGTCTATCATTTGGCTTAAAACAGAAGTTTGGTGTTAAAATTGTACTGACTATGAACAAATGTGCAGTCTCTCCGTGTAATAGTTATTACATATAACACTTCATGGTAAACCCACTGTTTTGCGTATTTCTGTATATCAAACATTGGTATCCATGCCTCATACAGGGATGCAACACACATACCCCCCTGAATGTTACGAACTTTAAACTATTTCAAGATTTTAAACAGTGGTAATTCATTTTCAGCTTTTATAGTAAACAAATCAAAGACAAATTTTTAAACAGAAGAAACTAGTGCTAAAATTATACAGTTTATACAATGTATAAAATAAATGACATCAGAACAACAACACAAGTTTATTTGATTACAAGATGATCATATTAAAACACTTTCAACATACCATGACATTAAACATGTGCTCTATAACATCAATTCAATTAAAATATAACTGTGAATTAACAACAACACTCACTTAAAGTGAACCTGTTTAAAAAACAATTATCATAAAAATCAACAACATAACATATCTTTGGTCCTGTTACAATCTCCTGATTAATACTTCTGAATTATCAAAAACAACATATGATTAAACATGGCATGGTATAATGCTGATTAAATATATTGATGCTTTGATTTGGGATGCAGACTTAACACCTGAGTACAGTAAGATTCTGTACTATACAGGTTGTGTCGTGAAATCCTTACCTAATGAGTTGGTCCAGAAAGATATGACCCGTACATCTGATACGTAAGGGACATAAATATAGAAAAAAGACATACCCTGAAATTGAAAAAAAAATGAAACAAGACTTAGAATATCAACAACATCTAGCACCTGTGCTAGCACCACCAGAACAAAATATCTGCACTGAAATCTTGTAAGCTCCCTGTGCCTTATATATAACATCTTTTTACAGTAAAATTAATTTTTGGACTAAACAGTTTTGCATATTTAGAGAATAGATGGTGACATCTTCAACCCATCCAACAAGCTAATACCATCTCTTCTTCCTTCTTCGGACCTGTTTCCTGGAACTCTCTGTTGATGTCTTGGACATTCTACCATTGGTGCCGTTTTGTTTACTCCAACCATTCTTGTTAATACCAGACCTGTCGACATCAAACTTCTTCGATGTTTGACTTTGCAGGTTAGATAAATCGGGAATTTTCACAATTTTGTTGAGTTGGAGGGCAAGGAAACAGCCAGTGAATGGACCTACCCAGTACACAAACAGGTGTTCCCATCTCTCTGTACCGTCACAGCCAAAGGTCAGACCAGATGCCATGGCTGGGTGCATGTACATACCAGTGAAATTCACTCCTAAAACAAAAATTTAAAAAGAAAACAAATTAAACAACAGAGAGATTTCAGACAAGCTTGATGCTAAAATGTTACTTCTTCCACAAGGAACAATATATAGAGTACATGTATAATGAATTGTATTTTTTTCAATAAAAGATAAAAGCATTTCTATATCACTTCTTACTTATCTATAAACAAAAAAACCAGAATACTTATAGAGTATATATCAGACACGTTACAACACAGGTTCCACACATTATACCGTTGAAAACATTTAATGCTGCTTACCTAAATTTACCAAGATACTGCAATTTATGACCTTGAGCAACAAGTCGATGAATTTGACCTTGATCAGGGTCTGCTGTTTCAGCCAGCCATCGAAAGTCACGCCAAGCATTTCCACCGAAAATCCTGCGGCCAGTGTTGTCTTCATATCAGAGTAGCATCTCTCATCAGTAAGAGCAGAAGCGAAAGATTCGTGGAAATCAAGCATGTAAATGTATCTTCCGAGAATGAAAGATGCCATCCCAGCCAGGATCTGTACTGGTATATGTGTTATCATAGTCCATAAAGACGTTGTTCCTTGTAAAAAGCCCATCCAGTATCCTAGTGGCGACCCAGTCCCTTTAGAGAAAACATTCACAGAAATTATAACTAAAGGCACTATTGCAGACATATACCCTACACCACCATATGCCTGTCGTATGACGATGTGACCGAATGGATAAGCACAGAAGGCCATTGTGGTGAAGAAGTCAAATGCATAGCTGCGTAGTGGTGAGGGAAGGAGACTGGAGAGCTGGTACATGAGGTAGCAAAACACCATTATCAGTAAATAAATGGAGACTGTGGCCAGTATTGGATGGAAGTGTAAAAAGTCTGGTGTGTCACCCATGACAACCGTCCACATATCACGCCATGTCATCACAGCCTGCAAATATATACAGAGTAAGTTAACATGCCATCTACACAATCATCAACATTATCATCCAATGCCCTGAAAATGAAATTCTCCACTAAAATAATTTTTTATTATATGGACGCTGAAGTTTTTCTGAATACTTGATGTCTTGAGTTTGTTCAGAAATAAGTAAAACACTTCATTCAGAATTCCCAACAATTGCTATAGAATCAATACAATTTTCCAACTGACTTAGGCTACAATTGTAAACTGACACCGTATGATTTCTATTACTTTTCATCAGCAAGATCTTATTCCGTTTTCTTCTTCTTTCCCATCTGTCGCAGAAACAACTTAAGCACAACAAAAGGCCAGGGTAAACTTACACATGAAATAGGAGGAGGATAGACCATGAATTTCTCAAGAAATAAAAATTATAAACTACAAATGTCAAAAATTATTTTGTTCTCATGGTATCTAGACAGGTTCTTTTAACTACATGGCTGTGTTGTTCATACAAGTCAAATGACATGTTTCTATACTGAGTAAGCACTTTTGAGGTATCAATTATAATTCTGGCTTCCAAGCTACAAAATTCCAGTAAGTAAGAGTTTTAAAAGCCTGACACACGAAGATCTGACTGATGTTCCTGTGACTAGTTCCATATAATACTGGCAAGTTCATTACTACTTAAACTAATATGAGTTCATAATGAATTAATTTTCTCAATGAGAACAAAGATTGAGGTTCGATTGCTGTGTCTTTACATTAAGATAACTAGCTATACAAACATCTGTTACAGAGTATGATTCATCATATCCTTTAGGGTAATGTTGTCAAGAAATCCAATTTGTAAAATCAATATTTAAGATCATCACATTATTAGTTTCCCTCAGTGAAAAATTCATTAGTACCAACTGTTACATATGAAATCTGTACTACAGTCTATGTACATGTGCAGAAGTTGCGAGTACAAGACGCCTTACTAGCTTCTGCTAGTGGGAGTATCCCTTTAGTTGAGCGATATTGTGTCCGGCTTGAGACCGAAGGGTCACAAGTTCGAACCCCAGTGGTGGAAGGGTGTTTTTCATTACACCGTCCTATTACACATGCATTCATGAACAACATTTCCTACATCAGAAGCTTCAACTGTAGGTCAACTCTTGTCAAGCTTAACACTTGATCATTTCAAACAAACCATCATATGTGTTTTAGATTTTTCAAACGATTACATCTGAACTAAAAAGTAATTCTAGTTTCACAAATATTCCTTCTTGTTAAATTTTATAATCTAAGAAAGCAATCCATTATCCTAATGTCCTTTACCATTGATTAAAAGCTGTTCTCTGAAGCTATCAGGTGTGAAAAATTTAGAAATCATCCACATCAGTCTATACTTTAACGGAAATACCAAACATGGAAACATTACATTAATTATTATACAACAAGTATAGCTGCCAGTTTTTACAACACTTATTTTACAGTGAATCTTAATTCCAATCTTTATTAAGACTTTTAACAGTGTCTCCATTGGTGCTTGATTTCATCTTGCTATATTATTATTATGTGGATCCAATTGATAAAAATGCCAAAAACCAGCCCTTCAGCTTATACTTAAGTGTGGTTTATAGCCCAGGACTTTTGGTATGTATACAACAAGCTCAAACATGTTACATCTTAATATAAATTCAACGATGAAAATTTTTAAATGATTCATTTGACAACATCTATTTTCAAATTAAATTGTTTATTTATGACGTATATGAAATTTGATGTTTTTGTATCGCAATCAAAACTCCACACTGTAACAAATTTATTTTTCAATGTAGACACAATCATAAAACATACCAAGTACATATAAATGTTTGAAGTGTAACTTGTTGGTACATTGTACCATGATTGGATAATTACCATGATTAGATGAATGAAGAAATATGTCCAGTCAATGCGTCCTCCTCACCTCATTCTGTACAGCATCAACACAATATCCTCTGAAATATGTGAATTATTTTGGATAAACAGGTGGACTATTCAAAACTGCACTGCTCACCATCACATCCTAATCAATCAGGCTGATTATTAAGGCCTGTATTGCTCACCCTATACACACACATACGTACTTCTGTTTAATATAAAGTACAACCCTTCAACTTATTATTTTATACAAGACAAATGACGAAATCCATAAGATGTTGTACAGAGAGATTGTTTTCCTAATTTTAACTGAAGATATAAATTGTACACTTGTATAGTTAAGACGTTTAATTAAATACCATGTAGCTATATATACCTCAAAACAAAGAAATCTTCACTACTGTCTATTCTAGAATCCAGCCAACACAACAGTCTCTCCTTCAGACAAACCCAAACAAGCTAAGATTCCTACAAATTCTCTTTCTATCCCTACACAATCATTCATTCGAACTCTCGTCTACTAATTATCATTTCCTCAGAAACCGTAGACTTTTTTCAAAAATGCTATTCAGGTAACATACATATCTGTCACCAACTTCAACAATTCTGCCTCGTAAGCTTCATGTACTGTATACACTTATATAGTTTAAAAAAAAAAACATTAACATAAACATTTTTTTATAGCACAGGTCTAAAATCATTAATTGTGACAGAAGTCTTATCTCTTAAGAAGATTTTAAGTTTTAGTAACTTGTCTGGACCTGAAATTTCATTCTTTTACCAGTAAATATATGTACAATCAGTCATAACATAATGACATGCTAATTTAAATGAGGTCATTACCTAACTAAATATCAAACAAAGAGGCCCAGTGGGTTAGCTTGACAAGTCTCTAAGACAACATTTTATTGTCTATGTAGATATATATATAAATGCTTTTTTTTACGTCCTTTGAAACTGGTTTTTATTTTTCACATTTGTAGGAGTTTTTTTTTCCTATGATTAGAACATTTTATTTGTTTACCCTCACACAGGTATATACAACATACAATACAAGACACAACTTTCAGTCACACTACCTCACATCCTAGGCTGAACAGATTTTTACTGTAAATGAACAAAGGGTTCTACAGATCTCTTTTAAGATTTATGGAAAATACAGTATTCAGCTGAACCTCAGATAATTATGAGGTCTGATTTTCATTAATGCAGGTATTTGACATTAACTTGTGCTGATTAATTGCTACTGATTGCTAGTCTAGATAGATTTGATGGTAGTCTCCATCGTCAATGCAATGTTACTAGTTTACTATGACATGTAGATATATAATTTTTCAGTAAAATATCATTTCCTGATATCTATCTTTAACACTTTCTATAAATGTCACCTTTTACACACTGTTTGTAAATGGTATGTTTTACAACCACCACATAATCAGATTTTGTATTTGATATTTTCACCTAGAAAATAATCTAAATTTCTTAATGTAACCCTGGTAAATACAATGTACCAGCTGCAATGAATCTCATCTAGAGAGAACCTTGCCCCTGTGAGTCAGATGTCCCAGGTTACAATCCTGGTTAGCAGCCATTGTAAAAAAGACCTCCTTTACATTGGTTCCAAGTACAGACTCGGGGAAATTAAGGAAATTATACTGAATTATACTAGAGTTTTCTCCATTATAGGTATATACTGTTAGGCTTAATAAATCTTCTTGTTAAGTTGATAAGTTATGCATGTAATTAGTATGAATGTTACCTAGAGCTCAAGTACCAGATTCATATCCTTGCAAAATAATTGAAATAAATAACAAAAAGCCCACGAGTCTAAATGGTTACCTGGCTAATTCCAACCAAAATTCAACCATAACATTTGTAAGTTACATCAAATTCGTTCTATTATTGAACTCATCAGAGATCTTATTGGCACAAGGGTGTATGACAAGTTTCATCAAAATCTGTTCATATTTAGTTATCCATGAACATTTATACTCAAGTTATTTTGTTCACAAAAAAGTTAACAAACAATGACAAACGAAGAATGATCACCACATGTCACCATGACATTGGTCACATGTGTATTCATGTAATTACCTCTTACATGAATATACATTTGATCTATTTTCATAATAAAAAATATGCTGAAATCAATACATTATGTCAGGCATTAATAATTCTTATTGATATCCGCTGATTATAATTCAAATATGATTATTTTTTATTTTACATTTACAAAATGGTTGTAAAATTTGTTTGTACTGTAGACCTAAATCTATATGCATACTGTATCCATAATTCACTTGTATTTCACGTAATTTAGGGATGGAGACAACTTGATGCGATGCATGATAGATCTGTAACTAGCCACGTCTGTAAACCACACCAATGCACTAAGTTTATCCGTACACGAGTGTCATGAATGTACGCTGACATTTAAACAAGGGCCCTGTTACAGCTGATAATGTGTATGTATATATATATTGACATGGGAGACCAATGTACTAATGGGCCGTATCTAAAAAGTTAGACTCAATGTCCAAATTCACTCCGAATCGTTCGATCACATTTTCACAAATGTACATTTATTGTCTAGTATAAACTTTATAATTCAATACATAACACTACGATTTTGGTATCTTTCCTTACCATTCCAATCACCTGTTCTCCTTCTTAACCCCTTTCAAAACACGATCGTCTGAATCCCCGTAGTGCTTGATAAATCTGCGCGGAGCAAAAAAAATGAAATGTACGGTGTCGTTGAAATGTGTGAGTCTTTTCGTCAATATGCTTACCGTTATTTCACATAGATATTCCCAAACAGATGTATTTCATTATTTATAATCATCCTTTCTAAATTGTTTTCAAAAAAAAATCCAGCAAATTACGGTACTTCGTTATCCGGCCTTTACTGGTTCCCAGGAATAAAAGTCTGTGTCATATATATGCTTCCTCGCTTACATCCGCTCCATTATGCAAAGCGCCCAAGTGATCCTGATCACAAACAGCTGCACCGTGCCTGACTGGGACCAGCATAGATATCGGACCGGTACTGAATGGAACCGTATAACGATAGATAACTCGTGTGGACTTAGGCAAGAATTCGTACGATTTTCAATGTATGTACCTGATAATATACTTGTAAGGGTAACGCTATATATTTTATTACATTTCAACGTACTAATGCAAAAAGAGCTTTACTCCTTGACGATGTCAAATCATTTGAAAATTAAATCGAATTCTTTCTCGTGTTAGATATGCTAAAATCTAATATCTTTTATTTTCCGATAATTTCATCGTATTTACACAGAAGCAAGTGTTTGATCAACAAAGAATAATTATGAGATAGAAATCGAGTGCTTTCTCGTGTTGTCGTTTACGGAGATGGTCCCAGTCAAACCCGGTGTGGCATTTTCATTTGTGACCGTTTTCAGTTGTGACTTTGTTGGTATAGCGTACGGACCTGACTGATTTTGATAGAACAAAACCTATAATTAGACGTCACACCTGAGAAGAAAAAAAGTTCATCCCCAGTTTCATTGGTATTACATGGCGGTTTATATATCTTTCTTGTTTAATATTTAAAATATGCGAGCTAATTTGAAGTCTAAAACGCACTAAATTCTTTTTGACGCCAACGAAGAAATTTTGATTGTAGTTAAAGTATTGCGAAATAAACGTGATAAAGTCGATGCTCAATATTTTCATAAATATATAGAATGGAAGTTCTTATAATACAGCCGGTAGAAGATTCAAGTATGGCGTTTCAGTGACTACACGATCACACCCATAAGGCAAATGCTGGCCGTAATGGGTTACATTCTTTGTGAATCTTGCGTGTGCATCTATAACCAAGTGCTAAACAAACCGTAGCCGAATTGACTACAGTACATTGTTATCACCATGTGTATTTTTGGGTTTATAATCTCTTTCGTCGCAATATTTTCAACCTTAGCGTACATAGGAATTTATAGCACAGTCGAAAAACTCGGCAGGTTCCGTATCATCTCGTACACTATGTACGTCGGTCATAGTACGCTCCACACTGGTCATTTGTTCGATGAAGGTGATGGTGCAGTCATCGAAACGTCACACTCGTAATTTTTCACTGGTTGTCTTAAAAGAACTTATATTCTAATACACAATGTGTATACTTAACATGGCCCTTACACCATGTATAATTGTACCCTCTGTTGGAAAACAGAGTCAATTAGGGGGTATTGTGTCAGCTGGCGACTTCAACAATAGAACGGGTAATCAACCTGATTATACTGTACATCAAATTGCACATTGTACTGTTCAGGATCATATCTCAAACCGCAAAGAAAGAAGAATATAGAATAACGAGAATTCGTTCCACATTGTGTAATAATAACACATTGAATTGTGTGAACTCTATTGGGTGTATAGTTCCAGTTAAGAATTGAAAGATATTCAGAAACAACTCGCTGCCCATCTGCGAAAAGCCATGTTTGCATGTCACGTGTTACGTGAACTTTGGTATGCGTGTATCGCACTTGGTGTAGAAAAAGAACATATGATTTTTTGCAACAGATAATATGCTATATTGTAAATAGCGTCGCTCAACCTTGGAATTATAAGAAAGCATAGAATGGGCGTTCCTTAAATTATATTTAAAGTTGCATTGTTTCAAATTGTGAAGAATTTCTTATAAACTGGTGTGGTAATAGAAACGTCTTTATCTAGGCCAACAGTGAGAGATACGACTTAAACCATTCAGGATTTGGTGGTATATGGTCGAAACCAAAAGTAAAATATGTTGGTGATAAAACAAAGAATTTCTGATCAAGGTAAACAATCTATTCTAGCTTCTATAGATATCTCGCCTAAATACTCTCTGTTGGTACAATACTTTTGAAAAAGATTATTGAGAAAATCCCCTTGTTTATAAGGCTGTTCAGTTGTTAATTGCACAAAATATTAATTAACTATTTGCGTTAGGGAAATCAAGTTTTGAACAAAAAAAATACACACATATATATCAGCATAGTCATAATTCAAAACTCAAATTCAGTAACACTAAGGCAAAATATGAACAAAAGAAATATTTTACATGGCGACTCTTGAAAAATGTGAATCTTGGTTAATCCAAGTAATTAATGTCACGTTCTCAAATGAAAACACGGTTTATAACAACGGAACCAACAAGCAAACTAACGAGCATCAAACACGTCCAGTTTCATATCGCACATATAAATAGAATGATAGATCTCAATCTGAAGATAATCTGAAGATCTAGTGATTGGAAACCATTTGAGAATTAAAAGATTGATGTTAAGATTAAATTTCTAATCTAAAACAATCAACGATTTAATTGTTTCATCAGATTTTAAAATGACCCATGACGAAACAAAATAGAAACAATGTCGTGAGAGTTTCTATTTCACGTAATTTCCCTTTTCTATTAAAAAAAAAAGAAAAAAAAAAGATCTCAACTGAGGTTTCGATCCAAGCACCTTTGGAGTCGTGAGCGGAGAGCTTACTACTGTGCTATCGTTACGTTACATATGATAAAGTGAAAATTTAGGAATCTTATCAAGTATGTAGTTTACTCCATTTTGTGTTTGTGTGGAATCCAAAACAAGTGTCAAGAAAAACATAGATGACAATGATGTGGTCAGTACATTAATGACTGATTATGCTAAAATGCCAAAAATTCAAATATTTCCATATCAACAAGCACTAAACCCCTATTCTTACGCTAAAAATCACCAAAATAATATACATTACATAAGTCTGATCTTTTATTGAGGAAATAAAGTATCTATTCGCTTGTTTTTTTTTCTGTTAGTGTATGTTAAATGTCGTACGACAGATAACCTGTTTTACACTGTAAGATGACGCCAGCAGTTTGTGTTTCACATTATCTATGAGTAACTTATGATAGAAAAGTTCATCTTGGAATCAAACAATGATTACTGGTTAGTCATATATCATTCAATGAAAAAAAACAAGTTCATTGTAACATTTTACTGCGTTGCGATCATAAAACCTTGAAAAAAGTGAAAAGGTAATAGGTAAGTCCGCTTTTCTCGATATTCCAATCACCAACAAATTAAAATCGAATTCATCTAGTCTGTGTTGATTACTTACATAATAAGTATATCCTGATCAAGCGTAAATCGAAAATATCGGGAAAATTTAATTTGCATATTTAAATAACTCATTTAAATATGTTGTCAAATTTGGACATAGAGACGTTTAAAAGTCTCCTTTTTTAAAAGCAAAGACACGCCTACCATCCTCCCTTTGGTACATTTCTTATATTGGTGTCATGACGTCGTCTATGTGGCTTTAGAGTCATTTGCATACATAGTGCTGTTTCACTTAAAATTCAATGCAACGAAAAAAATCAAACTGTTAGGAGGTATTCATATTTAAAATAACCAACTACGAAGCAATATTTTCGCAAAAAAACTGAAATATGGTGAGATTTTGAAGCTATTATTCTCTGGTGTTGCGGATCTCTTTCACATACGTTCTACATACGTTACCCATCCCGTGATACATAATGATAGCATGTAAAAACAATGACATAAAATCAGTTAAACGGAGTTGAAGATCGAAATTCATTACAACAATTTACAAAATGTAATGCCCGACATGAGTTCACTGTCTGATTTCATTGCTATTCTGAAATGAGTGCATTTAAAATGAATAGATTTGAAACACCGCGAGTAAGATTTGTCTTGTTGTATATATACAGAATACAAGAGCGTATTAACACGTCTTCAAGAAGAAGCCAAATGTGATTTTCCTGTCAAGCATGGGTTATCGCATGAACAAAGCTCCATAAAATAGTGCTCCGCTTGTGCCCATTCCTAATCGCTTCTTTAAATGTGGTCGTACCATATGCGGTACGGTATACTGAGGTTTTGTACACAGTGCCTTTTTTTGTGAATACACGTTAACCGTGTCTTTATTTCATGGTATTTATGAATGAATTTCCGTTATTGTCTATGCAAAAAGTTTATCTATTTGAAGATGTGTGATTACAAAAGGTTCTGTCTTTAATTCGTTTATTTAACTTTTTATCAATTGTTGTAAATTGCATCCTGTCGATATAATGTATGATCTAGGGTCCCTTAGTATAAAGTTTATATAACTCAGATTGATCTATATAGACATGTTTGATATAACCTCGAGAGAAAGGTGATCATGACAGGTACTTGTAGACTTCTCGGACAGTGGTAGAAAGTCGGTATGTATCCATGTATCCAGTTTCGAACAAAATATAATAACGCAATTTATATCAAATGATATCTTATGTGGAGAGAGAGAGAGAGAGAGAGAGAGAGAGAGAGAGAGAGAGAGAGAGAGAGAGAGAGAGAGAGAGAGAGAGAGAGAGAGAGAGAGAGAGAGAGAGAGGGGGGGGGGGGTGTGATGGGGTGGGGGAAGGTGGTAGATCATTATATGCTATAGATCTAAGCATATGAATACCATTGAAACAACAGTGTTTGAAGTGACTTCAAATTTTTGCAGATGCAAATGGATTTAAATTCACAAACAAAACCAGTTTGTATTCATTTTTTTCAATTGCGGAAACAGCATGACGATCCAAATATTCTTTGTGGTGTACCCATGCCAGTTGTTGAGCAAACGACATTCGTAAGTGTAACATTCGACAGGGAAAGTATCGGCCATTCCACATATAAAATACCTTAAAACACTGAACATTCTAAAGATGGCTGGGGAGCTGCTAGAAAAGTTTTGCTAGGACTTTATAGAGCTTTTATTAGATCAAAATTAGATTACGGTTCCATTGTGCATGAATCTGCTAGGCCTTTATTTCTCAAATTATTACACACTGTTCATCACCAGGGTCCGAGGCTCGCTATGTAGAGGCTAAGGAACCATCACTATACAGCCGTCGGAATAAATTTGCTTCGCAGAAGACAATCCAGCTAATATCAAATCCTTCCAATCCTGGCTTTTCACTCGTGTTCGATCCAAAATATAAAACATTATTTCAAAACCAACCACAGACTATTCCACCATTTAGTATTCGGATTTCCGCTCTTTTACAAAACGCAAATATTGATAATGAGCATATTCAGTCATTCGGAACGAAAGAAATTCCACTCGGCTCTTGAATTCACCTGAAGTTGACTTTTCACTTCACGAAATGGTTAAATCAGACACAGTTGCACTTTTCGTTCATCCTCCTCGAAACAGCAGTTAAAATATTAAGATAATCTACATTTGTATACTGATGGTTCACAAAACAATAATAAGGTTGCCGCAGGCATGGTTATACAAGTTGAAGCCTATGGATGCCGGCTACCCAACAACGCCTCAATATTCTCAGGGAAAGCGCGAGTTATCTACCTCGCCCTTGAACATATTCAAACTACATGTATTCAGACTTTATTTCTGTACTACAAAGTCTTCAAAACTACAAATCTATAGAAATATTGACTATATATTCAATGCATTAATTCTTTTTCAAGAACTTTCGTATATTTTGCTGGGTTCCTGGCTACGTGGGAATATCTGGCAATGAAAAAACGAAAAGCAGATCGTGCCACAAAGGAAGTTTCATCGCTACCACCTGTCGTTTTTAAACCTCACTTTGCTGATTTTAAACCATTAATCAAACATTTTTAACTGCTCAGTGGCAGGAGGAATGGAATCTATATACCAACGATAAATTGCATCCCGTAAAACTTTCAGTGAATGGTCTCCATGCTATAGAGACAACCATCGAGACAGAGTGGTCCTTGCACGTCTTCGGATGGGCCATACTTACCTTACACATTCATATGTTGACAGGCGACGATAACCTTGGTGTATAGCATGTGATGAGCCGTTCACCGTTAAATATTTTTATTAGATTGCATTGACCTTCATTCTACTAGAGAAATTTTTTTATCATAATGTTTCAAGTCAAGTTTTTGAAACTGTTCAGATTTATACAATTCTCGGTTATCTGAACAATTTAGGTCTGTTTCATAGGATATGACAATATTTGATAATATTTTAATATTTTGTGATAATATACAAAATGTAACTGTTTAAGATTTTTAGCATTTCTCTTTTACCTTTTAGTTCGTTAGATGTTATTTCCTTTTGGATCGCAGTGTCTTTCACTGGTTGATGATCCCAATGACCTTTTATGTGTTGACAGGTCGTTAAGAATGAAACAATGATTACACCAGTAATGACGTAAACTACCAAATTATCTCAACAGACGTATTGTCCATAACGAAGTAGACTGTGACGGACAAAAGTTGACGATAGAGTCACCTTACCTGAGCGCAGCTAGCACTTGTAGGTCTATCACACATGAACAAGATGCATGAAGCAATTGATGAATGATAAATTAACTCAACAAAGAACATTTACGTTGAATAGGAAAAAATAAACAGCCATCGTAAACTGTCCGTGTATACGTTGTGCTGATGCTTTACGATTTTACAGCGATAAATTCAGCAAAAATCCGTGACATAATTCGAAAAGATATTGGAAAAACTAAACATCAACCAACAATATTGCACATGCGCATTCATCTAATGAACACATTTTGCATACCAGGGTAAACAGACTATCAGTAATTACTCTAAAGCTGCACTGTCACTGATAATTTATGACATAAATCCATAATAAGTATTTCTGTAGGTAGAAACATGGTCGACTACTACAATGATAAAGACGGCGTTTTTGCGGACAACATCTCTGACAGGGAGAGAATAGGTCGATATTCTCTTGTATCACCTAGTTATGAACAGGTATGTAGCTGGTTCAGAAATAATTACGTATATAAGCAATTATTTATCACAATCAAGTTACGCTTGCCATTTATATCTAATGCCATTCATGTCCACGAGTTTCTAGCAGCAATATTGAGCTGAATGAGATTGAGAACTGCTATTTTGTGAATATATCGATATCATCTAGGTGTTTTGATATAATTACTTTTGTCTTAATGACAAAATGTGATACGAAGGGCTCGATATAATATTATCACAAAAGAATATTTGCTACGACATCCTGGCAGATGTGAATTACTTGACTATCCTGTCGATGGAATTGTGAGAATTATAGAGTTCCTTGTCGCCAGTATCATCTTGAGTGACAGGATCTTGCAGCTGACTACTAGCTTACCCATGGAAACAAATTGTACCTCCTTGACTGCCTTATGCTGAATTTATTGAAAAAAATGACCTTGACAAACCTACCCATTCTATTATTTAGATATTGATGATATCTTGACATTAAGTATGACAAGATACTCACAGACAAAGTCCATCGTTTATGTAAGATTCCCTATGCAATCATAAGCATAGAACATACTGGTTTGCGTTAGACCTTTCTTCGATATTTTCTTAGAACAAAACCCCAAAGAAGGACAAACATCAACCAGATTGTATGATAAAAATTGATGATTTGAATTTCCATGTTTTCAAATTTCTATTGCTTGATAGTAGTCTATATTTCAATATCATGGGGCCATTGTATACAAGAGACAAGGACTATGATATAAATACTTTATTGCAGGAAGTAAAGGAAAATGGATACACTGCCCCTTATGTCTGTGCCGGTGTGATTGGAGAAGTGTACCCAGACCAGAGACATACGATATCAATACTGGATATCGCCGCCGGAACAGGACTCGTCGCTTTAGAGGTAAACGCTTTAACAGTCATTCACACTGACATATTTAACATACTACACGAGTTATTTTTAACATACAATACGAGTTATTAAATATCCTATAGGTTTCTGTGCACCGGAAGTGCAATTATGCAGATGTCAACACGATTGTTTAAAAAGCAGATGGATGGCGTTGTTGAAATTAAATAGGTCACACACAATGCTTCCGGATATCACGTGTGTGACATTTGTCACACTGTGTCACTCCCAACCACTGCAGCTACTTTTTAATGTACATCAAACGTTTTCATGATTAGATCCATGTATTTGTCGTTATTAGCACTTCCACTAGGGAAGAGTCTAGCCATCAAAGATTAAAAGATGTAGTATATCGAAAAAGCATAACCATTTCTAAAACAAATAATTGGTTGGCGCAAGTGTTCTTCTATCCACTGCTTATGATACTGCATCGAAAATCCGTGCTATGTTATACTGAAATTTCCTTGCGTTTAAAGTTAAAATTGAATATATTTTAGGTAGGAGGTAGAGAACACAGGATACATGGTACAAGGGTAGGGGTATAGTAGGGTAGATATTATGGGGAAGGGGGTACAGGGTAGAGGGCCGAAGGTACATGGTTGAGGGTGGAGGGTAGAAAGTAAGGGGTAGGAGTACATGGTAGAAGGTAGTAGGTAGAGGATACTAGCATCAGGTACGTAAAAGTATGCCACTTGCAAAGTGTAAAGTAGCTGATTGGTATTGCGTTACGTAATATCGCTATTTATTGCACATTTGTTTTGTTGTTATTCGCAGCGACCAAAACATCGCAATTTGTCCAAACTAAAATTTATTGTAAAGTGACAGAGTCCTGTTTTTTGTACCTTTTAAAAATCAAGCTTAATCTTATAGTAGGGACTACTGCATCGAGATTTAAATAAGTTGACAGAGACGTACGTGGCCATGGGCTTAGTTCATACATTTTGTGCGAAAAGGAAATTTAAATTATTTATCGAGTAAAAAAAATGTACGAAAACGTCTTACCTTACTTAATTCACTTTTTAAAAGCTGAAACACAGAAATTGTTTATGTTATCTCAATGCATGTTTGGTAACAAGAGATTCCCATACATAAATTTTGTAAGTACATTTAACCTTTCTTGGATCTTGTGATAAATTATCCTTGACACGCCAGGGGTTATGACCACTTTCGCTAAAGTGACCCCTGTGGTATCGAGGGTGACAATAAATTGACTCGTTTACACCTGCATACCATATATAGAAAATAGTCTGACGAGATGATGAAAAGATTAGAGAAGAAAGTACGCAAGGTGATGACATTGTGCTGAAGTCGATTCAGCTACGTATTGTCTAACACTTGGTCATAGATGTACAAGAGATTGTGGAAAGGTTGTTTTCCCTGTCGACTGTTTGGGCATTATCTCAGTCAATGATATGATTTTGTTGTGTGGAGTGATCTGTAAGTGTCGCTTTCTTTATCTGGGATTGAGAATGTTTTCGTTTTTATCTGGAGAGTTCTTGCCTTCTCGGGATTCAACGTCTTTCTGATGTTCATTAAGTGACCGTGTAGCCATCGAGACGTCACACTCTAATATTCTACTGGTTGTGTTATAAGATGAAGATGACCGTGCAGTTATCAAAACGTCACACTCTAACCTTCAACTGGTTGTGATATCAGATGAAGGTAACCGTGTAGTCATCAAAACGTCACACACTAACCTTCTACTGGATCAAGGTGACTGTGTAGTCATCAAAACGTCACACTCTAACCTTCTACTGGTTGTGTTATCAGATGAAGGTGACCGTGTAGCCATAGAAACGTCACACTTTAATCCTCTACTGGTTGTTTGATTAGAAAGACCTCCTTCATTCTATTGATAATACCAGCCTGAAGGAGATGTTAAGAAAAAAACTAAATCATTGTTATACTCTACTCTAAATCTACTTATTATGCCCTTTCGTACTCACTTGATCAAATGCTTTGTTATTTTTCAATCACATGCCTTTCTAGCTGAAGAAACTAGGTTTCCTTACAATGGACGCCATAGAACCTTCTGAAGGGATGCTAGAACTGGCTGCAAAGAAAGGGTTATATCGCAACTTGTATAACACGGTGCTGTCTGCGGACCCCTTACCGCTTCCTTCAGGTCAGTGTATGTAAATATTCCATTGCCTACTAAATGTTGTGATTTACCAAGGACCTTTTTGGTCAATATGATGTTGTAATATGCATGTAATACCTATTGGTCATTTCTATTGTCGCATCAGATTGCAGTAAATATCACGACACAAGTTTGTCATTTCCGGTCAGTATAATGTCAGAGTCAAGTTAATGTCACAAAACAAGTTTGTCTTTACAATTAATTCCTGAATTTAGGAGTCAATGAAAGACACATGTTTACGTCTTAAATACGGTGTATTGATTACAGAATGGTCTATACCCATGTATCAGGTACACGGATGTGCAGGTGACTTGACACGATTTCTTTTTACATACTGTGTGTTTGGAAATCGTCCCTGTTGTCCGAAGGGTTCTGACTATATATCATATATCTTACTTGTCCCTTGCCAGAATTCTTTCCTATATATGCTGGGCATCAAACGTTAGGGGTCATTTTTTGAAGATAAAATTTATTTGTATCAAAAGGCAGAAACGTTTTGGAATATGAAATAAAAGAGTCAAATCAAACAACAAGAAACCATTTTTGACCCACTTTGAATCACTTTTAATCAGTCGTGTCTTGTATGATTATAGAAAACGTTAATAACACTCTAAAACAATATTAAAGTAACTGACTGGAAGTCGCGGATGATCGGTAATGCGTCGATGTTGCATCCCTGACGCATGCTCGATCAGGATAAGGTTCTTACCGGATATCAAAGTTAGATAACTCTATATTTGATAGGTGTAGTTCAGTAGGCGTGTCTTACGGTGTTACGTCAAGTAGGGGCTGCGACCTTCAATCCATTTTGACCTCAGCACGTGGGGTTAATTTTACCGTGCTCATTATGGGTATAGATTTTTGGAAAGTATTGTTCCAAATGGTAAATTTGCATTACAACAGCCATATTACCCTAAAGTTAATTACCGTTTGAATATTCGGAAGTATAATTGCTAACATCTGACTTCTGTGAACTGAAACTGATATCATCCGCTGCCATGAAATAAGTTGTTCATGTCCGTGTCTGCTCTGAAGCAGCCGCTGGTCATTGCGTTACATGGGAAACATCAAAGTTATTTGATTTCGTATAATGCTTATAAAGGACTACTTTCATTGATGCTAGCATACACCTGGTTTCCTTGTTTCACAAAACGCACAGTGTTTACTAGGTACGCAGCGCGTTTGACTCTATGCAATCCCTCTTCCGAGTAAAATCGCTCTCCATGCCCACGTGCCATTTTTCTTCTTACCTTTATCAAAGTTCGATAACTCTTAATTCGGCAGACGTGTCTTATTGTGTATAAAGTATAGAACTTTCTGATCGGTGACACCATACACATCGCATTCTTACAGCTACTTCCGGTCAGTGTAGTGACAAAATTAACTAGGACGAACAAATCCACAGTGTGATATAGCTACGGATATAGCGAGCTATCTCTGTCTCACGGTAAAATGAAAAAAAATTTCTTTGTTCTCATTACAGACGCATATGACGCCGTCACCATCTGTGGTTGGCATGGCAACGTCAATTCTCTAACGGATTCACTTCTTGAAATAATCCGGGTGATAAAACCAGGTAACTTTAAAGATGCGAGTAGGCCATGTGACTATTAAAAGTGATGTTATCTGCTGGTGCAGTGATCAGTGAATAACAACAGAATTGTTGATAAGGAACAAAAGTTCTGACGTATTATGTATGCAACGAGCACGACTTTGGTTCGTGAGTAAAGATATGGTGGCGTGCGCTCACTTCCTAGACAACAAGATATATGTTTTCCATGGTCAAACATATCCGATTTCTCAGGTTCACCATGATAAATTTGGTCTGGTCCGTTACAGCAAAAGTCAATAGACTTTCATGTGAACATATTCTACATAAATTCCTTAAAGGTTGTTTAAAACTCTCACCACCAGTTGTTATGTCGGTTGTATTAAACTCTCACCACCAGTTGTTATGTCGGTTGTCTAAAACTCTCACCACCAGTTGTTATGTCGGTTGTATCAAACTCTCATCACCAGTTGTTAAGTCGGTTGTCTAAAACTCTCACCACCAGTTGTTATGTCGGTTGTATCAAACTCTCATCACCAGTTGTTATGACGGTTGTCTAAAACTCTCACCACCAGTTGTTAAGTCGGTTGTCTAAAACTCTCATCACCAGTTGTTAAGTCGGTTGTATAAAACTCTCACCACCAGTTGTTAAGTCGGTTGTCTAAAACTCACCACCAGTTGTTAAGTCGGTTGTCTAAAACTCTCACCACCAGTTGTTATGTCGGTTGTATAAAACTCTCACCACCAGTTGTTATGTCGGTTGTCTAAAACTCTCATCACCAGTTGTTATGTCGGTTGTATAAAACTCTCATCACCAGTTGTTATGTCGGTTGTATAAAACTCTCATCACCAGTTGTTAAGTCGGTTGTCTAAAACTCTCATCACCAGTTGTTAAGTCGGTTGTCTAAAACTCTCACCACCAGTTGTTATGTCGGTTGTATAAAACTCTCATCACCAGTTGTTATGTCGGTTGTCTAAAACTCTCACCACCAGTTGTTAAGTCGGTTGTCTAAAACTCTCACCACCAGTTGTTAAGTCGGTTGTCTAAAACTCTCATCACCAGTTGTTATGTCGGTTGTCTAAAACTCTCACCACCAGTTGTTATGTCGGTTGTATAAAACTCTCATCACCAGTTGTTATGTCGGTTGTCTAAAACTCTCACCACCAGTTGTTATGTCGGTTGTCTAAAACTCTCATCACCAGTTGTTAAGTCGGTTGTCTAAAACTCTCACCACCAGTTGTTAAGTCGGTTGTCTAAAACTCTCATCACCAGTTGTTAAGTCGGTTGTCTAAAACTCTCACCACCAGTTGTTATGTCGGTTGTATAAAACTCTCATCACCAGTTGTTATGTCGGTTGTCTAAAACTCTCACCACCAGTTGTTAAGTCGGTTGTCTAAAACTCTCATCACCAGTTGTTAAGTCGGTTGTATAAAACTCTCACCACCAGTTGTTAAGTCGGTTGTCTAAAACTCACCACCAGTTGTTAAGTCGGTTGTCTAAAACTCACCACCAGTTGTTAAGTCTCTAAAACCACCAGTTGTTATGTCGGTTGTATAAAACTCTCACCACCAGTTGTTATGTCGGTTGTCTAAAACTCTCACCACCAGTTGTTATGTCGGTTGTCTAAAACTCTCACCACCAGTTGTTAAGTCGGTTGTCTAAAACTCTCATCACCAGTTGTTATGTCGGTTGTATAAATCTCTCATCACCAGTTGTTATGTCGGTTGTCTAAAACTCTCATCACCAGTTGTTAAGTCGGTTGTCTAAAACTCTCACCACCAGTTGTTATGTCGGTTGTATAAAACTCTTATCACCAGTTGTTATGTCGGTTGTCTAAAACTCTCACCACCAGTTGTTATGTCGGTTGTCTAAAACTCTCACCACCAGTTGTTAAGTCGGTTGTCTAAAACTCTCATCACCAGTTGTTAAGTCGGTTGTCTAAAACTCTCACCACCAGTTGTTATGTCGGTTGTATAAAACTCTCATCACCAGTTGTTATGACGGTTGTCTAAAACTCTCACCACCAGTTGTTATGTCGGTTGTCTAAAACTCTCATCACCAGTTGTTAAGTCGGTTGTCTAAAACTCTCACCACCAGTTGTTAAGTCGGTTGTCTAAAACTCTCATCACCAGTTGTTAAGTCGGTTGTCTAAAACTCTCATCACCAGTTGTTCAGTCGGTTGTCTAAAACTCTCATCAACAGTTGTTAAGTCGGTTGTCTAAAACTCTCACCACCAGTTGTTATGTCGGTTGTATAAAACTCTCATCACCAGTCGGTTGTTCACCACCAGTTGTTAAGTCGGTTGTCACCACCAGTTGTTAAGTCTGTTGTCTAAAACTCTCACCACCAGTTGTTATGACGGTTGTCTAAAACTCTCACCATCAGTTGTTATGTCGGTTGTCTAAAACTCCCTCAATCAACTGTTATGTCGGTTGTCTAAAACTCTCACCACCAGTTGTTATGTCGGTTGTCATCACCAGTTGTTATGTCGGTTGTCTAAAACTCTCACCACCAGTTGTTATGTCGGTTGTAAAAAAATAAAATCACCAGTTGTTAAGTCGGTTGTCTAAAACTCTCACCACCAGTTGTTGTCGGTTGTCTAAAACTCTCACCACCAGTTGTTATGTCGGTTGTCACCAAGTTGTTAACTCTCATCACCAGTTGTTATGTCGGTTGTCTAAAACTCTCACCACCAGTTGTTATGTCGGTTGTCTAAAACTCTCATCACCAGTTGTTAAGTCGGTTGTCTAAAACTCTCACCACCAGTTGTTAAGTCGGTTGTATAAAACTCTCACCACCAGTTGTTATGACGGTTGTCTAAAACTCTCATCACCAGTTGTTATGTCGGTTGTATAAAACTCTCATCACCAGTTGTTATGACGGTTGTAAAACTCTAAAACTCTCACCACCAGTTGTTATGTCGGTTGTCTAAAACTCTCACCACCAGTTGTTATGTCGGTTGTGTCGGTTGTCTAAAACTCTCATCACCAGTTGTTACTCTCATCACCAGTTGTTATGTCGGTTGTCTAAAACTCTCATCACCAGTTAAGTCGGTTGTCTAAAACTCTCACCACCAGTTGTTAAATCGGTTGTATAAAACTCTCACCACCAGTTGTTATGTCAGTTGTATAAAACAGTTGTTATCTATCAAGTCGGTTGTTAAAACTCTCACCACCAGTTGTTAAGTCGGTTGTCTAAAACTCTCATCACCAGTTGTTATGTCGGTTGTCTAAAACTCTCACCACCAGTTGTTATGTCGGTTGTCTAAAACTCTCATCACCAGTTGTTAAGTCGGTTGTATAAAACTCTCACCACCAGTTGTTATGTCGGTTGTCTAAAACTCTCATCACCAGTTGTTATGACGGTTGTTTAAAACTCCCTCAATCAACTGTTATGTCAACTCTCACCACCAGTTTTTATGGTGGTTGTCTAAAACTCTCATCACCAGTTATGTCGGTTGTCTAAAACTCCCTCAGTCAACTGTTATGACGGTTGTCTTAAACTCTCATCACCAGTTGTTAAGTCGGTTGTCTAAAACTCTCATCACCAGTTGTTAAGTCGGTTGTCTAAAACTCTCATCACCAGTTGTTAAGTCGGTTGTCTAAAACTCTCATCACCAGTTGTTAAGTCGGTTGTCTAAAACTCTCACCGCCAGTTGTTAAGTCGGTTATATAAAACTCTCACCACCAGTTGTTAAGTCGGTTGTCTAAAACTCTCATCACCAGTTGTTAAGTCGGTTGTCTAAACACTCACCACCAGGTGTTAAGTCGGTTGTCGAAAAATCTCATCACCAGTTGTTAAGTCGGTTGTCTAAAACTCTCACCACCAGTTGTTAAGTCGGTTGTCTAAAACTCTCATCACCAGTTGTTAAGTCGGTTGTATAAAACTCTCACCACCAGTTGTTATGTCGGTTGTATAAAACTCTCACCACGAGTTTTTATGTCGGTTGTCTAAAACTCCCTCAATCAACTGTTATGACGGTTGTCTAAAACTCTCATCACCAGTTAAGTCGGTTGTCTAAAACTCTCACCACCAGTTGTTAAGTCGGTTGTATAAAACTCTCACCACCAGTTGTTATGTCGGTTGTCTAAAACTCCCTCAATCAACTGTTATGTCGGTTGTCTAAAACTCTCACCACCAGTTAAGTCGGTTGTCTAAAACTCTCACCACCAGTTGTTATGTCGGTTGTCTAAAACTCTCATCACTAGTTGTTATGTCGGTTGTCTAAAACTCTCATCACCAGTTGTTATGTCGGTTGTCTAAAACTCTCATCACCAGTTGTTATGTCGGTTGTCTAAAACTCCCTCAATCAACTGTTATGACGGTTGTCTAAAACTCTCACCACCAGTTGTTATGTCGGTTGTCTAAAACTCCCTCAATCAACTGTTATGACGGTTGTCTAAAACTCTCATCACCAGTTGTTATGTCGGTTGTATAAAACTCTCATCACCAGTTGTTATGTCGGTTGTCTAAAACTCTCACCACCAGTTGTTAAGTCGGTTGTCTAAAACTCTCACCACCAGTTGTTATGTCGGTTGTCTAAAACTCTCTCAATCAACTGTTATGACGGTTGTCTAAAACTCTCTCCACCAGTTTTTATGTCGGTTGTCTAAAACTCTCATCACCAGTTATTATGTCGGTTGTCTAAAACTCCCTCAATCAACTGTTAAGTCGGTTGTCTAAAACTCTCATCACCAGTTGTTATGTCGGTTGTCTAAATCTCCCTCAATCAACGGTTAAGTCGGTTGTCTAAAACTCTCCCCACCAGTTTTTAGATCGGTTGTCTAAAACTCTCTCGACCAGTTGTAAAGTCTGTTGTCTAAAACTCTCCCCACCAGTTGTTAAGTCTGTTGTTTAAACACTCTCAAATCTCAACAAGTCAGTGGTTTATTTCCTAGGTGGTTACATCTGTATTGTGACCAGGATGATCTTCATACAGAACCTAGACGATTACAAAGCTCTCCTACAACAGTGTGTCAACTTGGAGGAAGCCAACAAGTGGAAACGGGTGGAGTTGACTGGTTTCCAGGGATACCTCAATAACATCGAGGGAGTTAAGCTGGTGTTTGTAGTCTTCTAATGGAAATATTTAACGGACGAGTTATCTTCTCTGCTACTTATACAAGTGCTTGTGTAAAGTGAACTATTTAGGGGTCTGCTGAAGGTAACGAAATGAAGTCTCAAATATGCTCGACAAACACGAGTTATCTCTCTTTATACATTTTGACTGTAAGCAAAGCCGCCGATCCGTTTTATCTCACAATTCAAATGCATGTAACCAACAGCCTACCATTTATCGTGTGTGAAATTAAGCTCCAATTAAATTCAAAACATTGACATACAACCAATGGGAATTATGCCTTTGTAGTATTTTAACAATGAAAACACAAGTTATGATCGTTCACCTTTCGAAGTATTTTCAACATCCCATTTTAGTTTAAAGTGGTGACAAGGGGCCGAGTGATGTCCAGTATCTCAAACACAATCACAAAACAACTTAGCTGGAAGCACTGTTACAGACTTCTGGACATCAGATAATCAAAAGGGTGGTTTGAACATCGATAATAAACGAGGAGGATTAGGCACATTGTTGCAGATTGATGGACGTTAGAAAGGGTGGTTTGAACCGTCCTTTCCATAATGGCGAGTTTAAATATGATAAAGAAAAATTATAACTCAAATTGCATCATTAAAGTAATTCAGCAGTTCTGAATCAAACTATAAACACAGAACCTTGTCATAATTTACTCTTTAATGTTCAAACATACATACCAGGTACTTATATTTTCAATAAGGATGTAAACACTCAAAATAATATCATTTCCTATCTGTACCTTCAATTAATTGATGTAACTTAAACACATATCAAACTGCAAATAATCATATTAGAGGTCACTATCTTTGGTATGCGCGTCTGTTACTGATCAGATATTCATGACTCAATTAAGGCAGAAAGATCTGAAAAGATTAGATTTCAGAAGAAAATGAAATAAGTTAAAATACTACGGATGACCACATTGAATGTAATGAATACACCGAATCTCATACCTTAATATACGGTACATCAATATCTGTACCAACATTGTATTTGATTTAACCTCAGTGTCAACATCATAAATTTGAAATCCATCAGCATCAACACTGTCTACTTCACAGGGACTTGGTACAAAGTTGCCAACCCAAGGTCCATATATGTATTATACTGACCACTATATCTATGTATTGACTGTGGGTTGGGAATTCATGCCAAGTCCCTGTGGTCTACTTCATTATTAATGAGTTGACATTATCAGGTGTCAACAATATATATATATATCATGAACACTTATAATCATGTAGAGTAACTTTCTGGTGTAATGATATGTATATCAGAAATGTTCAGATCAAGTGTTGGTAAAATGACATTGTCAAAAGTATTAATCATGTATATAGTGGGTGGTATCTTAGTTAAGTTATACGGCTTTCCATCTGTCATCTTTTATACAATAACCATTCAATCCCTTTTCTACAAAGAAGAACATGATACGAAATGTACATGTTTCAATGATGATATCATGATATACTATATTGTAAATTATAGAAAAGTACAAAATACAGTATCTAAGCCAAGCAATATCTAGGAAAGTAAATTAAGCTTCAAAAGCATTAAATGAGGTCTGTTAGGACAGTATATGCACCACCACACAATTATTACACGTGCCTTCTGGTTTAAGGTGGAGTAAGACAAATATTTTTAACAGATTCTGATGTATCCTCATTTATGGTTAAATGAGAGAACAACTATAATAACTGAACATTAAACTTGATCTAAAAACTTTGGCTTCAAAGCCTGGCACACACATAAATATGACAAAAAGTCAAAAACAGAGAAGCAGTTACGTTGAAAAAACACAAAAAAATCTGAAAGTATCATGATTTTCTGAAGTAAGGGTTACATCAAAGCTATAGCAAAAAGGACGAAACAAAAATCAAAAACTTAAACTTGATCTGTTATTTTGTTAAAATAAATAAGACATATCAAATCTTAGGTCATTATGGCATAATGGCAGAAAATAAAGAAAAAGAAACTGACAGAGAGGTGGCGCAGAGAAAATATTCAGTCACCCACCATCCTAGTTTCACCAGTTGAAAACTAAAAAAATTAACAAGTTATAATAGACACAGGGTGATCATCATGTGCATTTAAAATATTTCAAATTAAGGTTGGAATCAAAGATAAAATCCTTTAACTTTAGTACCGTTAAAAACAAAATGGAGTCCAAGAAACTGTGAATGTGATCGTCATTTAGGGTGTTTTGAGTACTGAGGAATCAAATTAGAAAAAATCTAGATGTCAGTGATAATCTGTTTGCATACTTCCACCAATTGGAAAGAAAGAATTGGTAGCAACAGCTAGTTCCAAAGGCTATGATAATAGACTGAAACCCTTTCTGCGTTAGGTTTAGCCTAAAATGACCAAAACATTGTAAATCATTTAAGAGTCAGTCTGATATGACAGCTTCACAATACTGTAAAAATATTAATCCTTTTCATTTCTATTTCTTCATAAAGGAACTAACGAGAACACGTCCTAGTAAAGGTTTCTCATTTAACATAAACAAAATTTTGACAGGTATGGAATTTTGAACTGAATTTTATCTTTTGGTTTTCAATGCTATTTACATATGTGTTATCACACGTCACATATTGTAAATAAGATGTTTAACATCTTATCATAAATCATGAACAACATACAGGAGGCCCATCACAAGCCATTCAAATCAATTAAGGTAAGGCATTTGCCTAAGGACACAATCATGTCAACACAGACAGGTCTGTTTCCCAGCTCTCCAAGAAACACAAACGGCCATAGGTTGGGAGCATATTGAACCACAAAATCTTATGTACACGAGTCAATGCTCGAACTACCAGAGCTATCTCAACCTCTTATAAATTAAATTGTACTTCAAAGAAATATACATACATAATATTTTACCTTGATTTTATATATTATATTTTTATCATACAATGACACTACATTGTTTGGCTCGGCAGTATATATAAGACATCGCACAGGTAAATCCAAATGATTGCAGAGTTACTTAAAAAATAATGATATAGAAACTCTGTCACAACCAGGACAATGTGTTATAATATATAGTTGATGATAACCTATTGATGAATGCATGAAGCCTGGACTTAATGAAGTTCCAGAATACATTAGAAAATGAAATTGGAAGGATGGTGGACTTTACTAGGTACATGCATTAACTGATTGCTGGAGATTAATATTATAAGTACAGTTAACTGTGGCAACACACAATGCACCAAAAATTTACAGTAGCTAGCACAGAGCACATATTTGTAAAAATGGTTGACTAATAATACAAACTGAAAATTAAACAGAAAATTTGTGCAGATACGACTAAAAGAGCATTCGTAGGCAGATTACATATAGATTAGTGATTATAAAAGATCACTTTAAACTGGACAGTTTTTCGAAATAACACTGGACCCTACATTAATAGCAGTCTTTCTAGCATATAGTTTTATACCTCAGAAAAACACATGAGGTGTACATGTGCCTATAGCAACAAAAAATACCTCTATACAGTTATATACAAGACATAGGTCCAGATCTGACCCAACATCATGTAACATTGTGTAATCCCACATCTGAATGATTTTAATACAGTCAAATTAGCTATTTTCTGTATCTAGCAGCATAATACAGTGTTTATACATGTATGATATCAAATATTCTTAGTTGGCGACAACTACCTGGTATGTATAAGTCACGTTTTGTAAACTTAATTCAAAACGATCTTGCATCAACAAAATTTGTTGATAAATAATAGCACGTCAAAATCAAACATTTCTGTTTCAAACAATCAAATTCACTGCTCAGTGTCTAAAATTATCATTTAAGATATCTGAACTTTGAACACCATTGTATGTAAAGGCACCATCTCTTCTGCTATATTTCACCCCTACAGTCATTCTTATGAAACGATGTATGACTGCTGACCCTTCTGTATAGTTTGCATTCCAATGTGTCAATGATGATCTGAAACCCATGGACATCATTTTGTAAGTAATTAAGCACCTGTTATAGTAAACTGATGGTAAGTTATGCCATGCATAACATAATCAATAATAAAAATTCCTTCCACATAAAAGTAAAGACATTTTGGTTGTAAAATATACATACATTATACATTACCTTTAAGTGATTTCAAATAAAAATAATGAGAGCTATCAGTGAGAATAAAAATACTGAAAACTAAATTAAGCAATGGGAATGAAAAACAACAAACAAATTTATCTTTCTTTACAAATTACACTAATAAAAAACCCATTAAAACTAAAATAACACTTTCTGTATTCAATTATTTAAAAAATAGGAGTGCCAATTATGTAATTGGCAAGTTGATACAATAAATTTACATTGATTAAACAATGTTTTCATCTGGAAATAGCCTCAATTTCTATCTTCTAATAAAGTATCACATTTTTATGTAAAAAAGTATCTGATTTTCTGCAATAAACGATTTCTCCTTGTATTGTTAAAGGGAGATAACCTGTATGGAATTCTTAATGCTGGGACATTGGCTATGACTAGCTCTTGATCTTTGGTCTCTATACATAAATGTAACATCAGCTATCGCATTAACTAATAGATGTAAAAAGGGTCCATGTAGTTCCATCGTCAGAGTTAATACTAAATTGATAGTTTATATATACACTTTCTTTCAGATCACATTAATGAAAAATAAACAGAAGGATCTCATAGAGAAGACAGTTAATGCAGAACAATTCATGATGTTGTGTTTTTTCACTGATCCTTCCTTGCCTACCAGTCAAACTTCCTGCCTATTAACTTGTAAAACTGTTTATTAAGTGGTCTAAAAAGGTCTGTTAACATTTCCATTACTCCTTCATCTATATCTGGGTGCTTCCGACCCTTGCCTCTTGATAAACACTGCTCTTGTCTCGTTCCATTGAAACCATCAATAGACATGCAGTAAAATCCCTTTTTATCACTAAACACAAATCTATCTGGTGTTATTAAGTGAGGTAATCCAAGAAACTTTTCCACTGCATGAACTTCCTCGTAAGGATTCCGCACCAAGTTATCACCATCGACGATGTGGATTTGCGCAAGAGGGAAGTATTTAAGCCATCTCAACATGTGTTTGTAATAGAATGAAGGACGAATTCCTGGATATCCTTCATTTATCTTTCCATTTTTTGGACGAATAATTAATTCTTCAAATGAAGGTGTCAATTCTTTTGTGGTTTTATCCTTCAGTTTTCTCTGGAGGTAATCAGAAACTGCACGAGCAATAGGTTCTCGAACTAGTAAAATCATTTTCATAGAAGTGTTCATACTGTACACACGCCATTCAGTGTCTTTGTTGTGAAAATAATTTGAAGTTTTTTCCATGGTTATCTGTCCCTCATAAGAAGGGGGCATTAAGGATTTATAATAATCAAATCCCAGCTTAAAATTTCTCTCATAGTCAAAGAAGTTAAGTTCTTTATCTGCTATAACAATATCGGGGTGTAATTTTAAATATTGTACCATGGCACCTGTGCCTGCCTTTTTCACACCTATGATAAGACACTGTGGCAGTCTCTGGCGAAGATCAGTCTTTTTGTGAACTGGAATGTTGTTTTGAATGTCGTCACTGAATCTACTTCCATGCCCAGGTCTGCTTGCTGGGCCCCAGTAATCTGTAACCTTTGGCAGTACATGTCTTTTCATGCCTGAATCATCCTTTTGGTTCATCAGATCATAATGAGGGCTACTGAGCATCAATATGAACAGAGCGATAGCAACAAAAAGCAACACTCCCAATATCTTTGTCTTTGAGATCCGTCGACAGCATAGTCCCTTGGCACGAGGAAACAGCCCTGCCTCTTCATGGTAGATGTAATTATTTGGTGACATGATCAGGTATTCTTATAGTCCACCTGTAATGTAAAATAACCATTATCAAAAAGTGGAAATTTTTTCACTAAAATTAACATTTTAAAAACATAGAAATTTTTGCTGTTTTATTTAAAAAAAAAACTGGTCTATTGTAAATCTATGGTTGTAAAACATGAAAAAATTTCAACTGTTTTATATACAAGAGGCCAATGGGACAGTCATGTGAGGTTCCCAGTTTTAGAACCTTTCCATCAGTCCCAACATTGTTGCAGGAAGAACAGAACCAATATGTGCATACTTACAAAGTTTTCATCGTTTCTAAGTTTAACAGTGTCTGTTTAATAGTTTAGTATATTGAAATCCTGTGTTCTTGAATGAAGGTCAAGGTCATTCATTTGAACAAAATTGGTAGCCCTCCCTTCATCCCAGTATGCTACTGGCCCAACATCATGACTCTGGACAATTTGGTTATTGAGAATAGGTTGTTTATAGATTTTAATACATTTGACCCTTATGACTTTGAAAACAGGCCAAGGTCATTCATTTAAACAAACTTTGTAGCCTTTCATGCCAGCATATCATTACAATGGGTCTTTTGGTTATTGAGAAGAAGTAAAAAAAGTACGTTGTTTATGACTGAAGACACACGATGGAAGACCCTAGACAAAAGATGATCGCAACATGATGAGACTGTCTCAAGTGACGTTACAATACTGGTCTATTGTAAAGTTACCATAGAAAATTAACATGGACATTTTCAACTGTTTTATATATCATACACAGGTCTAATGTAAAACTAATATCATAAACACAAGGAAAATTGCAACTGTTTCACATACACAAGGGTAATTATAATGGCACACTTTGCCATGACTGGCAGTACATGTATCAGCACATATATATACCACTTACTAGAGGTTTTAGGCTACAACATACACATCAGCATAAATGACGTGTATAAGAATATCTATTTTTCAACCCTATTACCGAGATGATTAAAAACAGAAATATGCTTTATCTTTCTACGCAGCTTGACCTGAGGTTATACTAACATATAAATGTATGTATGAAGTGTATCATTGTGACAGGTGCACGTAATCCTAATTAATGTACACCAGTACAGGTGTATGAAATGTATACAACATTTGTACAGACCATAGTGTTGAGACATAATTGAACAAAACGCACACTGTATTTCTTGTAATTTATCTGGTGAGTTCGGAACACCATTTCCAAAATTTTGATATCTGGTAAAATATTTCATGTGAGATGACATAAAACAGATCTATGACGTATCAGTTTGGTATTCTAAGACGTTTATCTTGATTATATAAAAACATATATGTATACATTTATATATAACTGTACATAAACAGCAGCAGATTTTGGCATAGGAAATAAATTCTTTCATAAAAAAAATAAGATAAATATTGAGAATATTTTTTAACTCAATTTATATATGACCATGGGGTCAACCTGATATAAAGAAAAATATTTTAATGTAATTTTTAACTGCAGACAAATAAATACAAAATGAAATAGCTTTAAACTTGATCTGTGAAATCTAAACACTGATGACATTCGTGTTAATCACCGATTCATTCTGAGGTGTTCTATATTGGTTTAACATCCACTTAAATCTGTTCAGAAACATTTCTTTTTCAGTAAGAGGAAGTTTGACGGAAAATTGTAATTAAGATCTGTGTACCAAGTATCACTGTACACATAAGGGGGTCTGTACAGATGCAACCACATGTTACTCCCCTTTAAACCTGTTCATTATGTCATTAGGATTATACACCTACAAACTTCCCTTTCTGTATATCAGATCCACTCCAAACATATCACTATATATATATATAGAGAGAGATAGAGAGAGGAGAGGTTGGGGAGGGGGCAGCACACAATCACACAACAACTGTAATTTACATGTGTTTGCTGGTGTTTTATATAAAAAAAAGTTTAAAAAAAAACAGAAAACAAAAAAAAAACATGACTGGAGAAATTGATAGAATAGATCAAATTTAAATTCAACTTTGTATCCATTTTGAATACATTATACAATATTTTCTTTTAATTGAGATAGTTTATTATAATCATTTCAGTAAAAGAACAAGTTCCAATGTCTACTTTGATGATTTTCCTGGTATCAAAATTTGCTGGGCAATACACCTAATCAGATCCTTATGGCTTAATACATCATAAACTTACTCTAAATCACGAGCTGATGAACTGTTTTGTGGAAAAGATTCGAAAAATTTCTGATGCTTGAGCACTGGTTATGATCAAGTCATATAATTATCTATAAACAAGGGTGTATATAAATCTGATGAAATATGCGACATATCTCAATGATTTCCTTATAATTGTAGCTTCAGTGATAGGCAGTAACTGTACGATCACAGAAGACACAGAACACCCCTGTGTATAGATATAGGTCATAACTGAAAGTACTCTATGACACAAACGACAGAAAATATCGTAACTCTGATTGATGTAAATGCTGGATATGCTGTTATGTTATACAAGATAAAAAATTAAAACATCACTTAAAACAAAAACAAATATAAGCGTTACAGTGATAAAATTAAAATTGTGTACATGTGGCTCAATATTTGGAATATGCATCAAATATTTATATCGCAAAGCTTAAATATTGTTAATTCATCGGCACTTACTAAGACCATTGCATTGTGACAATAAGAATAATTGAACCAATTACTTTGACAACAAGTAACCAAGTGGAACTTTTATGAAATTTGTTGTCCACACTGTATGAAAGACTATGTGGAAAATATGTTCCTGCATCATTTTTTTCTTTTAAAATGGGGATAGTAAAATGGGTCCATTTTTGAAGTCTCGTCACTTGATCATAGCCGAGATACCACACCAGGATGTTTGATACGGTAACTTTAAAGGTTAACTGAGCTGTTTGTTTGTCTGAGTGCTACTTGCTGGTTATGTATTGGCATTTCAGTTTAAGTTTTTGAGGAAACTTGACCCTGAAAAAAGATACCTGTACCCTTGTTTTTGGATGATATCGAACGGTTGGATTTCAACACTTTACCCTTGTTTTTGGATGATATCAAAGATCACAGAAAGATCTTATTTTTTCTATGGCCACCAAACAGTCTTCATTAATAAGCTTTGCTACTTATCATATAACTGACTCATTCATTATGTGCAATATGATTCCAACGTCAAATCAATATCAAAGATTTTCTGCCAACCATCCTAGCCTAAAATTAAAACAAGGGATAAAGGATATGTATTGAGTTTCTAGGAAAATCCCATCAGTACCCTTTCTTTGGATTGTGGATAGAAGCACAATTACATCTATATTACTGTACATACATCTTATGGGGAAAATGCACAAAATGTTTTTACCGACTGATAATTTAAATGAATTCAGAAAAAAATGAACAAACCTTGGTATTGCATGACTGATGATTTCTATCTCATCAGTACCGATAATGTGTAAATTGAGTAAAAAACATTCATGTGTATTCATTAATTGCAACCAGGGCTCTCGATCTGCCAGATTTGAGGCCAAATATCGGCCCCATTCCCAATGCAAAATAGTATCTTTTTTTCCCAATTTAGACCCCAAGGAAAACGCCGCTTTTTTCCCAATTCTGAGGGCCCCGGGCCCCAGACCCAAAATGAGGTGTGAGAGCCCTGGCAACTATGCCACAAGTCATTAGTGAGTATAATTTAAAGATTACTGATAAAGAAACTTAATAAGATTTGACTACTATGTATTCCAAAGAGCTTTCTGAAATAATCCAACAAAAAACAGTCTTAAACAAATTTAGCCGACAACAAATAAACAGTCTTTAACACAACCTGAATTCTATGCCTTTCGACATGTCCTTATTTTCTTTGCTGTTTTCAAATACAAATTGTTTACAAATAGTTTTATGCATCATACCTTTTTTAATGAGTTCCAAACTTTTATCTGTCAGTGAAATGGAAAAACATGCAGATGTGCAGCTTGCTGATGATTTTATCTCCTAATTGCCTGTCTTATCGTGTGCCTTAAGCATGTATTAAAGCCTTTAATTTAAATTCAAAACTGTCTCAGTGTTTCTTATCCTATAGATTACTGTAGTATTAGTGTTGGAAACTTTTTGCTTTACTTATTTCATTTGGCTTAATTTGATCTATTTTGCTTCATTTAAATGTTTGCTAATATAATAACTTTTTACTGAATTTGAAGGAGTTCTGCATTTACTTCAACTGACTCAGCAGCATGTACCATTATGTCTTGTTTCATCATTATCCTTGTTATTCTGTATTGTATTGTGTGTATATATTGGTATGTTTGTTTCTTAGCTTTCGTATGTAATGCTCATTATTTTTAATTAACCAGTGACAGTTATCGTCCTGTTTTATGTATGTTATCATGTTGTGTGTATATATTGATGTAAAAGCCTTTGGATTGCGTTCACTGTTTAAATGTACAGACTTATAACAAAATTTATCTGACTTGAGTTAGCTATGTGTGACGTATGTAATGCTCATTATTTTTAATTAACCAGTGACAGTTATCGTCCTGTTTTATGTATGTTATCATGTTGACTGTTTTTTATTAAAATATTCTACATAAGTTTACAGTCGGATGTAAAAGCCTTTGGATTGCGTTCACTGTTTAAATGTACAGACTTATAACAAAATTTATCTGACTTGAGTTAGCTATGTGTGAATTGCTGGCATTCCATAACCTGTCTATATGTAGTTCATAAAGTAGACATGACTAAGATATTACCAGACAAGAATTCATTACAACTATTATACCATAAACAATATAAACAGTCGAAAGAGTATAGTATAGCCCACCAAACATTGTACCGACTAATCAGGATCTTACAGGTCACCAGTTCACCAGGTACAAATGTGTGTACACAAAAGAACACAATGATATATTATCATCAAATAGCAGACACAACAATACACATCACGAAAATAGGAATATTCAAGATCGCTTCAGAATGACCTCATTTATAGTCAGTCTGTAATCTGTAGCAATATTCGTACAATGCTTCAAGTATCCTATCCCACCTGGGGCATCTCTGTCTCCACACACCTACCCAGTCTACAGACCTGCACGGTGAATCCTCAAACAGCTGACTGAAAAGTTGTTGCCAATACATATATTCCTCGATTAGATAATATAAATACACTTATACACTTACTTAAACGCCCAGAACACAGATTCACATGGTGTTTATGCACTGGAAATACCACAAGGTATGTTAAACTGTAGAAAATCCTCTCCTAGAGTATCACGACGGTGCACTGGATGATCCGGAGTAAACAAAGCTAAAATCAGAGCTACGTACATTTGACCAATTCATTGACCGATCCAAAAACAAGCTTACCACAATATATAGACGACTAATCATGACGTCCGGCTACACACTGCCGAGATAACACAATATTGTTTATACCAGCCACAACACACATGATGCTCAGATGGGACAACGTCTCCTCGCGTTCGCATACTCAACATGGAGTCGTACAAGAGGAGCTATCCGTTATTTTCGTATGAGGCGCCCCAAAGGGGTTTCGATTTTATTAATAATGATGCTAGTAATGACAATTTATTAATAAGTCACTGCTAAATGTATAACAAAATATCAAAAACTTTTTTTTTTAATCAATGTAACAGTGTATCAGTAGTGTGGAGAATAATATAATTTAACAGATGTGTTTCTTAAACCGTGTGAAGAGCGGAGGACAGGTGCGTGCGGACAGGGACGTATTTAACTGACTACGTCCCTGGCGCGGGATAGATGGTTACTAATTACGGATATAAACCTCATAGTATTCGAAGATAAATTGCCAGGCCATTTTGACTTCCGGACAGGGGTCTTTAGGTGTATGATACTTATGTTTGTAACCGCTGTTCAAACCGTAAATCTTACTGATATCATTGCGACTGATGATCCTCATCAATTATTCATAACGTCATCATCAATTAGTATGACGTTGTAACGCCGAGAGGAAAAGAAGAACATACATTTTCTGTTAATTTCCCATGCTTACCGCCAATGTTATATCGTTACCATAAGTGAGATCTTTATGAAAAAAGTGTGAAAATAGGACAGAAATTGTGTTAACATTATAATCCAACAGTACCGTATTATTGTTATTTTTTTGTGTACGATTCTGTACTCAAACCTCTGGTTTTTATAGGGTTTATGTGCACATTCTGATACGCGAAAAAAAATAGTGGACGTGCCTAACAATACACACACGTAATCATAAGAGGGCGGCTGTAATAGTGTTATCGCATTTAACAGGAACGTATAATAGAGATCGTAGACTACCTGTATAGATTAACAAAAATAAAATTTAGTTAACTAGATATTCTGTACTCGTGTTTACAAATTTTTTCTCCAAAAGTACCTACATGTAACCAATCTTTTCAAAAGAAACTGTTAATTTTCAACATTTAAAAAACATATCACACGTTTAAGATATTTACAACTGAGATATCGCCTTATATTGTGTACAACTCTCTACCCGAAATATGAAGGAAAACACGTACTAATCAACGGTATTAAAAAACTGAGTAATTTTCCGTTCATGTAATGCTTGTGGTACGATTTGATTTAAATGTATTATATTTGTTATATGAGATTCAGTGGTCAGAGTGGTCAGTGTTACATCTCAGTCCACATGTACTACAGCATAGAACTGAATAGGACACAGGTACAACAGTAACAACTCGGAGGACAGAGACAAACGTGAAAACTTACACCAGAGAAGCCTACACTGGGCCTAGTAACCTACATCATAGTCGCTGTATTTAGTCGTTTGAAATGTAATGCACACGCATGTGCGCTTCCTGTGTGGTATTAGTGCAGCTATGAGCGTTTGAACCTTCCATTTAACTGATTCCAGTTGTTGAAATAAGACTAATGCACCGTAACTACAGGCGACGGTCCCCTGCCCTCCTTCTTCGGCATGTCGTGATATGGGCTATCTGTATCATAATGCCGTGACCCCTGAACCTTCCGATATATAATCGATCATCGACTTGGTCAATAAATAGCAATTAAATGCATCAAGTAATCATAATTGATAAAAAAGTAAAATTGAAAGGTTTGCAAAGTTTTTGCTAGCTCCAGTATGTGAAAGCTCGTTATTTCTTTTATCAAATAATATATATATGTCACCGTACCTAACAAGCGTAGTGTTTAATCGTTGTGAATGTATGATATATTGTCAAGTAGATTCCAAGGTTCATGGGTCACGACAGGGTGAATTAACCAGTTCTCCGAGATCGAGAAATTAGCTGTAATAATTATATTCATATCCTAAAAATCAGGGAAAGTGGTCGTGTCTGTGATTTGTGGTGATAGTTCGTGCAAAATATAACAAAGATTTTCAGTGTTATACTCAAGAGAAATACCGTAACAAAGAAAAAAAAAAAAAAACGTTGAAATTGTTGACGCCAATATCGAATGACGTAATTTCATACGCCGTCTACCGACAAAAATATTCTACATAAAGTTGTATTAAGCACTATGGCTTGTAAAATTAACACTAGGTAACAAAGTGTGTCAGCTTAGCTTTGCTTTACATCGAATACTAGTAACAGAATTAGCATACAAAGATATCTTTAAACAAAAGTAAAACCAAGAACAGCACAGATTACTTTACCACAACAAAAGGGTCAGTTTTGGACTTAATTTCTATTTCTCCTTTGAGAATCCCCCCTTTCCAGATAATACATTTTACATGTAATCACCCTGCTTTCACAACTTAAGGCTTTTACATGTTGCAGCTGATAGGATGTTCAAGGTCTTGTTCACAATATCGCGTTTTCTTGTAGTACAACAGAGAGTTTCGAGACATGCAGGTCGATGAAGACAAAGGGGAGTGCTTTATTGTGACCACGATGATCTCATCCAAAGATATTTTATTTCTTTGTAAGATACGGAGTTAGATATGCCTGATAGTTTCGCAGTTACACGCACGTTTTATTTATCTGAGTACGTGACATTAATTACCTGAATCGATCAACATTTAGGAGGTGTCTTCGGTCAAACAGAACAAGCAGAAGTTTGAATCGAGGTTCAAACGGTCAACAAGCATGCCCAACTTCATATCACAAAAGGAGATGGAATTTCACATCACAATAAAATCTCGGTTAAGAGAGTGAGGGGTTATAACTCTCTCATAACCTTCCTTAGCTGCATCTCTTGAATTTCATTGTCTTTTACGAAAATCAAGACAAATGTATTGCGAACATGGCCTTGAATACCGAATCGACTGCTGCAAGAAGCGATCGAGATGAGCTACTAAATTTGATTCCACCCACTTTTGATGGTTATATACGGTGGACATAGCCAAGAAATGTTGACTGTCATCAATGTAATAAAAAATGAAATTGAATTACTTGGCACGGCATTGGCACCTTGTTATGCTCCCCGAAATTTTTCTAGGGAACATATCGTCGATACTTTGTCCGTCCCTCATTTCGTCTCCTCTCCGGCCCATTCTTATTCGGAGTACAACTTTGTCTAAGTTAATCACGGAACATGAAACTTAGTGTATACACTGGTCATACTAAGGCGATGTGCAGTGTACCAAATTCAGGACCCTCGACCCATCAGTTACAGAGTTATTGTCCTTTGTTAAAAATTCTTGTTCGGAGCATACTTTTTAAATGCTTCTACTTAAACTAGGAAAATAAATCCTGGTGAATACATTGATCATACTAAGACAATGTGAAGCGTACCAAATTCATGGCCATCGACCCCCTAAATGACAGAGTTATTGTCATTTGTTAAAGTTATGTATCCAAAGCATAACTTTGCTTTCTTCTAAGCTAGGATAATGAAACCTAGTGTATACATTAGTCATACGAAGGCAATCTGATGTGTACCAATGTCAGGGACGAGAACCTTTAGATACAGAGTTATTGCCATGTGTTAAAATTTTGTGTCACGAGCATAACTTTGCCTGCCATAAAAATGGAAAAATGAAACTTGATGTATACATTGATCACACTAAGAGAATATGCAGTGTACCATATTCCGGGCTTGCAACCCCATAATTACAGAATTATTGCTCTTCGTTTAAAACTTTGTGTCTAATAAAGTTATTTCAAGGGAGCATTCATCAGTTTCACTGATACCCTTGTTCTGATAAGCTCTCCGATAGATTTAGCTTGATATGGAAACAAAAACCAGGTAAGTCAGGAGAGGAGTAGAATAGAAGTTTAGTGTTTTGAACGATTTTACCACCAAACGAAAATATTGTCAACCAGAAATAGTTAACTACCATATGACTGCACCATCGCTCTTTGACAAGAACGTTTTCATCAGCAGAGAGTGACGGGATTGAAGAGAAAGGTATTTAATTCACCACCAATACACTGTACCTATTATTGTATCACAAATAATAATGTTTCCTTGAAAAAAGATTCGATCTTTAATTTCAAAGTTTAAGTATCGTAAGTAGGTCACATCCATCTAAGAATAATCGTCAAGGACTCGTTATCTTGGTTCATTAGAATAACAATTGTTTAATAATATACAGAGGACGTTGTATGACTTATCTGAATATTGCAATAGTTATGTTTCTCTTCCAATCCTTACCTACCGTATCATCACAACAGTTATTATAATAACAACAAAAATGTTATGGTCAACTTGAGGGACCGAAGACCTACACTGGATTGTTGACGATGAACAAAAAACAAACCAGTTTAATCTGGTGTCATACTTATGAAATGTTACTAAAATCATGAAACCGGAAAACGCAGGAGTTTCATGTTGTGTATTAAATGTGACTATGAATAGGGAAAATATGATATCGTTATAATACATGACGAGGACATCGCAATGTCTATGGAACAGACAGACAGTCTGAGTGTACATATTGCTGCCCTGTTGTCATGCGATATGTCAGCGGCGTCTGACATAATACGTGCAACAATAATCCCGGTTCAGTTTCGCACGAAATGTAGTTATACCAGGAAGAATGAACTTGAATCTCAGAAGAATTTCCTGTGCAACAACGAAAGTCGATACATGCAACAACAATGAACTTAAACAGGGATCATTTAGATCTCCGTACAGGAAATAGCATTACTGTTGACAGGTGCAGTATACAACCATTACGACATTCTCTTGGAAGGAAAGGATTTAATTTACAGGCTGATTGAATTCATCAAAACACACACTTAAATTTGTCCTCAGAGACTCGTGGTGGCTTTTTCAATTTACAGGAAAGAGAATTCATTGAAATTATCAGCAGGCGCTGATCAAACATTCTATGATGCCTTGATCATGTGTGGGCAGAGTTCGATACTCATTCTAATAAGACTGATAATCAATCTAACTGCCTTTGGC